CAGTTAATATTTTGTTTCAGCTGTCCTCCTAAATTATTTTTTTTTATAACACAGACATTGCTAGGATTCCATCAAAATACATAGCTTCACATAGACAAAAATCACACAACATGATTAAAAATTTTTGCTTTCTAATTGCTCCATAAAAGCCAAAGTATGAACATTAATCAGAATGCATTTTAAATTCCTCAGAAGACTTCAAAAAAAATACCCTGCCTGCTTAATGTCAGTCATAAACATGTATTATAAACAATAGATAATATAATGTCACTCATAGACATGTATTATAACAATATTACAATCATTTCTGGGGAAAAATACTTTAACATTCCTTTCCTTATGTTTTTAGTTATTTTAGGCTAGCTCTCTATTTAGTCACTACTCTGTGGCACAAAACCCCCATGGAAGTGTGTGATGCATTGTACAAATATTGAAAGCTAGAAGCCCTTATTTCAGGATTCCTCGAGACAGATCCTGATTAGATTTCTACAAATAATATCATCTCTAAGACAAGATTTGGCTTTAGATGCCAGATGTATTTTTGAATTTTCATCTTCTAGCCCTTAAGAACTGCCCTCCTCTAAAAGCAGATTATTTTATACCTTACAAAAGTTTTAAGACAGCAGTTATGGAACAGTTTTTGTGGAGCCACCATCAAAATCACTCTGCTTATGTTATCCCTCTGCAAGACAAAAAATGTAGTTTGCTCATAAAAATTAAGTAGTGCACTGAAATGCACAGTGAGCTAGAAGATAATGTGCAAGACCCCAGGGATGATTTAACTCCTCTGTCAGACACTCAAACAACCCACAGGGCTGGGAGCAGCTGCTACAAAGAGTAAATGTACTCCATGTAACACAACCATCAACCTGCAGCAAGCCCCTCTTTGTTTCTCCATAAAAGGCAAACCAGAAAACCCCAAAATTTTGAATCCATGGCCAGCTGACGGCACAGCCTTTGCCCACAGGGACCACAGTAGCCCCAGCAGGCACTGACCAAACAACAAAATCTTTGGGCCTGTTTTGCTACTGAAGCAACGAGGTTTTTCCAGGACACTTGGAGCGCTTGTGCAGGTTTTACAAAGCTCTCCAGACCTACAACAAGATGTTCCAATCCAAATATCAGTGAGAAAAATTTCAGCACTATTTAGCACAGAGCTCAGGCAACTCTTCTGTAATGGCCCAAGCACGAGGCTTCACAGCAGCTGACTGATGTATTTGTGGTTTTGTCTAATTATCTTTAGCAAATAAGGGATTTATTTAATTTCACAAGAACATACTGTGAATGGTTGCTAAAACAAAAAGGATAGCAATCCAGTGCCATTTTTTCTTTCTCCTCATCAAATCCATGGCTTCAGCGTGAAAAACAATTTCAACGCAAAAATAACATGGTAGTGATAACAGCAATTTAGAGCCTGGGCAGGGCTAAAATGCTGAGGCACAATCTTGAAATACTATTTTCCTGGCAAGAAAATCTAGAATAATTTCATATTTTAATGTGACAGAATGCCAATGGGACTCAGATAAAGAAGTCTAGGTACCTATAGCACCCAGCAAAGAGCACCATCTCCACTGAGATTTTTACAGACAGTTTCAGAATTACTGTGCAATGGTTGGCATTCTCTACTGCATGCCTGGAGGTTATTTCAGAGACCCATAAGGAATTTATCACTATCTCTAAACTGCATATGTAGGGGTTCTTTAAGCTAATAATAAACATGTATATAGTGAGGGTTAGTGCAGCAGCCTGACACAAGAAAAATTACTTTTCTAGGAAAGATTATGTTCCATAAATTCAGAAGAAAGTTTCACACAGATCAGCTACATTATATTAATAGACAAACACTAATTTATGCACATATCCAGCCACCCAATGAGTATTGTCCCCTTCTACTGGTACATGACAAGAAGAAATCAAGGCATTATGTTCTCATGAGTCTGAGCTTATCTGTGATGCATTGTCAACTCTTCTAACATATACTGAATACATTCCAAGAAAAAGGAAGCAATTAATGACAGCATATTATATAATAGAAATAAAAAACTAATGCACCAAAACACTACTTACATTATCTACTTTTCTTGGAAAAAATAGTTCCAATTAGCTAATGTATTGTATAGGTGAATTTCTGGCTCCACTGAAGTCAATGAGTATTAGAACAAGAATCTCTTTCTGATGTTTTCCTACAAACTCCAAAGCCTGATCTTGCAAATACACAAGATGGATTTAATTTTAGGCAAATGATAGATCAGTTCCATGGATCACCCAAATAGAATTTGCAGAATCAGGCTCTTAAATTCTATTATAGTTACAGATTTATACCCAGTAATGAATATTAATGGATTAAAAAGAACTAATTAAAAGTCACGGTGTATAGAGATTTCTTTGACTTCCATAGGAGTAAGCAAACGTCTACTTCTTTATCCATGGCAATTACAATTTCCTACAGATGCTCAAATTCCCAGGGTAGTTTCATTAGGCTACATTTCTCATACTTCTGCTCTAGATATAAAAAGAAGGCATTGCATAAAGGTCAGTAACCAGTGAATACTTGGGAATTTTAAATTGTATTCCTCTCTGGGAGGCAGAAGAAGGTAAATAGAAGTAAATAGACACAATTAGAAAACACAAATGTTCTTTGCAAGACAAATTTCAGGATTAACACCAGCTGGCAGAACATTAACATTCATTTTTAAAGCTGATAGCTCTTCATCCTAGAGTGTCTACCTGCAGCATTACAAATTTGATATAAATCAGCTGCTGTGGCTAACTAGTCCTAGTACAGCAGTTTACTCATAACATTTATTTTAGGCTTTCTAATAACATACAAGTTTTCAGAGTCTAAAGATACATTAACTCCTGTATATACAACTTATTTTCCCTAGCACTAAAGAAAATTTGCTTTTAAGGGTTTACACTAAAGAGGAGGTGAAATTCAAGTCACATGACTTGTGGAATTAATCGCCCTGATTTCAGTGTGATCTATGTGAAAGTGAAATAAGTGGTATTTGGCTGAGGTGCAGAAAACCAAGAGTGATACATCCAAATGAACCGCAGGGAATCAAAATGGAATTACTGAAATTACAGTCTGCAATTACTAAAAACACATTATGAAGTTACCACGCTTATGTAAAGAAGCTAATTGTAATTACCAAAATTATATTTAGCCCAGGTATTATCATTAGCATCTTTCATAAACATTTCTGTGAAGGGTTTAATCCTTAGTGATCAAGACCTCAGTGCTCTGCTGGTTACAGAAAACACCTTTTCCAGCAGTAAGATACCCCTTAAATCAAATCTCAGGGTTTGGTTTGGAGTCAGAATGCCACCTTCCAGATTACTAATCTCTGTTCCTACAGCAAATGCCATTTCCCTTTTTAATCTTCAATCAAATGACCCCAGAAACTAATTCCAGCTGGCTTATGAGTCATACTAAGCTTCAATTTCACAAAGATAAGTTGAGTATATTTGATTTTCAGAATATCCAGTCCATTGCTTTTTCATGGTTTTATTTCATAATGACTAATCAGATTCATTTCAGTGTAAAGTGATAAAACCTGCTAAAAATAACACCTCCACTGGTCATACATTCCCAATTCATATGTCATAAACAGCAGTTGTTATATTCACTAATTAGCATGATACATGCTCCTGATTACACTTTTGTTAAACTTAGGTGTCAGCTTTTCCATATGTCCCCTCTGGAGGTCTGTAGTACTTTGGGAAAGCCATCAGCTGCATCATGTTGAATGCATACTTTCTGCATTTGACATTCTTCAGAACATTCTCTATGCGGCATCCTTCTCTAGTGAAAGGGGGAAAAAGTACAACTTCAGGAAACATAGAATAAATAAATATGCTTTATTTGTTCATTGCAGAGTTTCAGCAACAGTTGAAGTAAAAATAACAAGGATTCAACTCTACATTTTTGTTTTCCATGAGTGATGATACATCTTACAGAATTAAATCCAAGGCCAGGCCCAGTACACTTATTGCCCTCAGAAATAGGTGATAAGATTTTCCATCCCCCTAATATATCTGCCCTTGAGGTTTAAAGTTCAGTAAAAAAATTTAATAACTTTAATGATACATTTTGTTCTAATTCCAGAAATATATTTGCCTTTTAAACCTTTTCATACCTTTCTTTTTCAAGTGATTTGCTATATATGTGTGAGTATACATTGCCCTAAAATGCGCATTCTAGGAATAAGGAATTTTATTAAGTCTGGCCCTAGAGATTCGTGAAGGAAAGTTTCATCTCTGCTTCATTTGCTGTATGTTCAGCTTTGCAATGAAAAAAAGAGAGAATGGCTTTTCAAACAGCCCAATCCACCTCTCTGCTTTATAAAGGAAGGATGTTCGTTCACATACAGTACAAAAGTCACAAGTGCCAAAGTGGTGCATCAAGACATAAACAGGACTTTGTTAAAAAGAATATAAAAGTGTACTGAAAGCAAAAGCAACTAAAGCAACAATTACAAACAGGCTAATTTCATTACAAAACAGAACTTAGTATATTCTATTTACTCTACAGAAAAGGGTTAGTTGTAGCAAAGTAATAATAATTTATTAAACGAAAACAATCCCGTCAGCTAGTTACAATGAAAAAACACAACGGAAGGTAAGTCTCACAAACCATTGCCCTGCCATATTTGTCTAGGGGTTAGTTTGTGTTGTGCAAATTTTTATTTTATTTTTTTTTTTTTTGGTCAGACTAATTACTCTGGAAAGAGGGATTCAAGCATTCAGGATTCCACAACTTCTATACAGTGACAGCATTGTAAGTGGGCTTTCTTTGCGCTAATTACAGTGGGAAAGTTTTACCATGAACAGAAAGAGCAAATCAATTCACTCAATGCATAGTATACTTCTCGGAGTTCAGAAAAAAAGAATGAAAACACAGTACATTTCAGACATGGGAATCTTAAAGATGAATCCTTGGGGTCTGAGACTGTAGAAATATTACAACATGATTCTTTTTTCTAGAGTTAGTTCGTTGCTGTTTGTAGAAAAGAAAGGAACACAAGTAAAGTTTATTGATATTTGGCTAATAGCAAAGCAAGACTTAAAATAAGCCACACAACCAGCAGGTGTGAGCTGACAAGCAGCAAGGCGACAGGATAGAAGTGTCGAGCAGTTGGCTTGTTATCAGTTAGACAGCCTGTTTCGGGATCATCCGAGTCAGTCAGTGCTCCCTGGGTCTGTCTGCTGTTAAACAGGGAAGTTAGGAACAGATAGAACAGCATTTCAGCAGCAAAGAAAGCCAACACGCAGGCATTTTGACAAAATGAAAGTACAGAGCCATTTTGAGGAAATAGATTTATCTAAGTACTTCCAGTATAACTTTTGTGTTCTACAGCTGACACAGGAAGCACCATCACTGGGCGGCTACTAGCATACTAATGCTACTAGGTGCCTTGGAGTAGTATTCACAAGTGAACATTAAATCACTTCCACAATGAACTACACCATCACTAAAATCAACACACACACTGAACAGAAATGAAATAAGGAGGTTGAAAAAAAAAGTTAAGGAAGCAAAGAAAAAAAGATCATGAGTACGTCATAATGCAACACTGAACAAATGATGTCTCCATGGTGCTCACAGGCTTTTCAGTCCTGCTTCAGTATCTATTAGGAAGTTTATTGGCAGAAATGAAAAGGCCACACACTAACAGCTATTCTAAAATAGTATTAAATGATGGTAAACTGACTTCAAAAATTCATCACTGCTGGTGACTCAAAGTCCATAGCAGTTCTTTTTATTCAAAGGCTCGCACCTGCATTCCTGTAAGTAAATCACCTTGTATCTTTATCAGTCAACACAGGGAGGAGCTAATCTACTTAGAAGGAAGTTCTACTGAATCACGCTGGATTGTGTGGTCCTTGTCCTACCAGAGCAACAGGGACACTTCCACTGCCAGGCTTGCCTTTTGTATTCTTGACAGATTCTCTGTAAGTACAATTACTCACACTGCAACCACACTTCTTCAATTCCTCTGAAGCTTACTTGCATACACTCAGGAGTCCTGTTTATAGACTTCCTTTGGGCAGCAAGGACTGGCAAGATTTTTTTTTTTTTTCTATTTACTATGAATATCCTGTGATGAAAAGATAACTTGCCATTTTTTAATGTGGACTTGAGAATATCCAAATATATCAGATGACAATGCAGTGCCCTTTCAGAAGGACAGGTCACAAGTATGCTCTTGCTTTCAAGAGAGAAAAAGCTGGCAGACATTATCTTTACTGTCCCACAGCTGCAGGTAAGATGAAGAGGATACTCTGAAAACAGCAGCAGCCACATCACCTTACAGAAAGCCTGCCTTCTGACTCGTGTGTTAAAGGGCAGTGCTACATTTCCTAAGCTTGGATAGCAAGAGAGGTGCAAGAGCTGCGTTTGCAGGTGGAACCCTAGGCAAGGGGGGGTTGATCAAAACCTTTCCTTGCCCAATTTCTCTTTTGAACAAGCCTTCCATAATAAGTTCTTAGTCTTAGTCTTTGCTTTGAACTTCAGTCTGTATGTTACACTAATAAAGGGATCAATACATACTATTTTGAATAGCAAAATAAGAGATAAAAAAATAAAACCCCTGCTATTTTCATCTAGGTCAAAGTAATTGCTGGTGGCAGGGTGTTTGCTGCTTTTGTTCTACAGATCTCAAGTGTCCATGGATGGAACTTGGGCAGAACTGAGACTTTGCTGTAGACATTATCTCAGAAACTATCAAGAAATTAAGCTGATTGCATGGTTTATTGGCCTTGTCAGCACTGAAATAAGTAATTCTGTGTTTCTCTATCAGACTGCTCCAGCTATGCCTCTGTCCTAGGGCCCACCTACAGAACTGCCTTCCTCTTCTGCTCACAGTGACATTACTATTTGTGATCAGCTGGGAGGACTAACTTTATTGTTCCCAGTTAATGTTGTCCTCCATTATGTATTTCTATATACTTTTTTAAGAACCTGCTGCTTGCTGGTTTTCCTTTTCTTTTTTTAATCTCCACAGCATCCCACAGGTTTGTCCCTTTGACCCTGTCCCCTTACTCCCTTCCAACTCCTCAAGGTGAGCCTGCAGGTTTCAGCTTACTCCCCTTATGCCCACAACTCATGAGAAGTCCAGCTCAACCCTCCCAGTCCCATCTCTTCCTTCCCAGTCACAGAGTCCGGGTGATTTTTGTTTGCCCTGCATCCCTTCCATCACAGACATCACGTGTGCTCCTATGCACACACCAAACTTTTTTCTTCTGGAGAAATCCATCTGGCCAGCAGTGAAGTTGAGCATTCAGTAGGGTGCACAGCCACTGCATTAATCAGATTGATTGTTTACACCAATCTGGAGAGCCCTGGCTTTGCACACCAATGGTTCATTCCAAGCAGGCTGAGTCACACACTTGCAGGTTGTTCCTACAGGGATGAACCCTCCTGCTTCTGTGGTGTGCCTTGCTCTGTTGGACTCCACATCTCAACAGTGTCTGGCTTTCATCTGCACTGCTACAAGTCACATTAGCTTCAGTGAGATTTATGCGGGAGTAATGATGGAAATACAGATAAAAGCCATTTGTTCTCTTTTTTTTTTTTTTTTTCAACAGAAAAGCCTACAGTACATTTGTTCTTTGATATGCTGAAAAGAATGATCGGTGTCTTTTAACATAAAAAGTTTATCTTCCCCCCAGGAAAGCAACCGTGAACAGCTGATGCACAGGCACTCTGTTCCACAAATTAGTCACATCATTCAATGCATGATTCAATAAGATGTCCCCAAAATAGAGCAAGAGGATCCAAGTCCATTATTAGCTTCCTAAGAACAAGCTGAGCAGAATAGCTACGCATGCTTTTAATTGAGGAGGAATATTTGATCAGGGTCAGATGCCTTGCTATAGTGTGTGCCAACATTTCTCAGTGCAGTGCAGTGACAGTGCCTTCCAACACACCCCAAAGTGTCCTCTGCAGTGACTATTGAACAAAGCAAAGACCTACACCCAGCTGTCAGCACCATAACATTGCTTCCCCTGGCTCACCCCACCCTGGAGGAGTTTCACTGCAAACAGCAGAAATCCCACTAGTGCCCTGTCAGCTGGATTCATGTGGCTTCTGACTGACAGCACAACCAGAACAGAGCGCTAAGGGTGCTACATGCTCAGGTGTGAAGGTACAGCCATAGTTTCAGACGTTATCTCCATCACAAATTGAACTTTAAATGCAAAAGGAAGGAAGAAAACTTGAAAAATAACCAGCAAGTTTCTATTTTACAAATAATTTAAACAGAAGTAGTGAAACCACCTAAGTTCGCAACATCTGGAGTCATGAACACCCCACTAACCTATCATACAATTTTTATTCATTTACTCTCAAATTGTTCATTTGAGACCTCCGGCACAGCACAAACACATTGTAGCAGCCAAGGGTTCTGTAAGTTAATGACAATATAACCATTTCAGCCTGCCTTCTATCTCATTTGATGTTTTATCATCCTAAACTCCTGTTAGGAGTTGCTACATGCTTATCAAATGAGGCAAAGGCAAAACAGCAGGTATTTTTTGTTCTTTTCAAATTCAGCTGATAAATTATTTGGACCTCAAAGTAGTGAAGCAGAGATGATGAAAATGGTGTGAGGAAAAAGCCTCTCAAGTCCTTAAGAGAGTCAAGCACACACATGAGGGCACATTCTGGCTTTCGATTGTCAGTCACACTGATGTCCCTGAGCAACGTTTTTGGAGGAGATGATTTTCACATTTTGGGATGTATGCTTCTTTTTTAGAACTTTTCCAGCTACAGTTATTAGCAACACTGGAAACGTTGAACTCTTCTACACGATTTCTTCAGGTGGAATAAACAGGCAGCTTTCTATTAACAGGTGTCCCACGTGCTAGTGGTGACTACCGTTTGAATTCATGTCCTACTGCACTTGTACTTTATGGGAATTTCCCTTTTTTTTTTTGTAGACAGATTCAAGCAAGGTTTTTCTGGTCCTGATGTGTTTTTCTTCTTAAACTTCGGTGCTGACACAGAAAATAGCAAAAGTAAGTTGCTTCTCTAGAGTGCCATCTGGTAATAGTAGAGACATTTCTTCAAATAGAAAGGATGGCTAACAGTTCTCAGTCTTACACAATTTTGATAACTTACCTATTCCTTTTATTTCAAGACAGTCAAGTTCATAAGCAGCTTTCAAGAAGCAGCTTCTCTTAAGAAGTTTTTGGAACGAAAGCATCCTAATTTCTACATGATACATGTTACTGGGATTGACTGAAACACTTCAGAGAATAATCACCTGTATCAATGTACAGCACTACAGTTCAAGAAGGCAGCCTTAACTTTTTCAAAGAGAAAATGTGGGATCCTTGTGAACATCTCCTAGCCATTACCAAGCTGCTGCACTAGCACATCTAGAAGAATAAAACATCATGCAGAAGGAAATAAACAGGTATCAGCCTAGTCCTGAAGGATTTCAGTATCAGAGCAGAACTCAGATAAAACATATAAAGGAACATCGGGAAACAAAATTTTATTTTGAAATATGAAGTTGATGCAATAAACCTCCAACAATTTTTAAGAACAAAAAATGGTTCTGCATTGTTTCAAAATGGAAGCTAAGGGAGGGGAATCAGCAGAGACATCTTTTGTATCAATGATCTTTAAAATTATTCTTTTTCTGATACGCATTTAATAACTTAAATTTTTTCCCTCAAATCCACATGGCACTAAATAAAGTAGAAGATGCTAGAAATCAATTTTTGCTGCTTACATGATCCTATAATCTCAGCTCAAAACAACGAGAATTGCTGAAACTGATAAGCAGTCTTAGATCCAAGAATACTGAGAAATTCAGTTAGTGATTTAGGAAGCTGCTATTTAAACATACACAAAAACCCCAGACTGTTTATCAAATCTGTTTTATCAAATTGTCACACTAAACTCCCTCCTCCTGTTTTAACCTTTTGTAATGCAAGTTTTTCCCTACTCTTGTTGCTAGAATAGAAATCCTCTATTTCCCCACTCCTTTCTTCTCTCCTTGCTTGGTTATAACACACGACTTTTCTAATGCAATATTTAGGAAATAGAAAGGAAAGTAGATCATACAATATGAGGCTTGACCACTGAGTTGGACCATGCAGCAGATTCATGGTGCAGTCATGATGATAGGACACCTAGATCTTGAAAATCAGCTATTGTGAAGTAACTGTGGGGTTTGGGCTCAAAACCATTACGG